TGTGTGTGTGTGTGTGTGTGTGTGAAACTCATTAATAATGTATGAGGTGGGATGGGAATGAGAGGGGGCGGCGACAGATGGGGAATCAGTGTGTAACACAGAGAGGAACAGTGAGCCTCAGAGAGCGGACAGACAGCAGATACATTCAGATGGGTAGAGTAGAGGTAGAGTAGAGCATTTTTTACTGCCATCTTTTATCTTTGTGGCCTTGCTCTGTGTTTGCCTGACAGTTGCTGAGTCTCTGTTTTCTCTTTTTCCCTTTGGATGCTGAAGGATTGATGGAGATGGAGAGACAGCGTAGTCGCCCAGCACTGCTGTACACCTGGACAAAAGAGCTGCACTGACAGAGGTACTCGTACTGTTTCTGTGTGTTTGTGCAGAGATGAACCAGTTAGACAGCCTGATCTTTTTACTCAAAGGTCAGATATCACAGTGATAAGAACCACAGCAGACACTCTGTCACATCCTGTGGATAAACGGCAGATATTTAAACACCAACTTTCCACAAAGACACGTCTGTACTGCAACACGACTATTTCAAAAGATACTGTGTGTAAGACACGAGTGGCTGAACTGTTATTCTGAATGCTTCAAAGGTTACGATCTTTGTCTGCTCTCGCCTCACATTAATCAGCCTTAAAACAGAAACCTGTGTGCGATGTGAAGCTTGCCCCCTGTGTCAATGAATGCTGTTTCTTTCTTGCTCCATGGGAAGAGGCTCGGGTGAGCCTGCTGCTCAATATCAGTGTGAACGCTGCTGAGCTGTAGATCATTTCATGCAGTTGTGTCTGATAATGTTTGTCCACAGAAGTGTTATCTGCCTTTTGCTTTTGTAGTTAAAAGCCTTTATATTTGTTTCAATGATGATTCAGACTGCTGACGGTGAAATGAGGACACAGTCACACACACCTTTGTGTTTACTAATTAGTTACAACATTGAATTGATGATACTGTCCCCAGAGCCTGAACCTGACCATCACCTAACTGTAGCACGACTGTTGGTCCCTACAAGTATAGTAGCACACACACACACACACACACACACAGAGCTATATTCTGTGTGTTACTAACATACAGGAAACAGGAGAGGGCATATTGTCTACCCACTGGGGGACTTGTGGATCGTCCCTGGCCACTACTGAAGTGTCTCTGAGATCCTGAACCACAGGTTGGCTCCAGTCCATCCATCAGAGTGAGCGGCAGTGACTGCAGTCAAAACAAAGTAAAGCACTGAATGTGTGATTGTGTGTGTTATAGAGTGTGTGTGCTCAGTAAAGCATCGTTGACCAACAGTAAAGGAAACCATTGTTCTGGTTCACTCAGTTC